TAATACTTGGTCGTTATCGGTTGTTATCGGTCGTTACCGGCGACTCGAAAGAACCGTGCACCGAGGAGAAACATGCGCGCTGAACAATGGATATTTTTCATCCAATCGAAAATGAAGAAGACTTTTGCTCGACATTACGGAGGCACGTTCGTGTGTGTTTCTTCAACACGTTAGAAACTTGAAAAAAAAAAAATCATTCGAGTTTTGTATTTATTTAAATAAATTAGTTACTGCCTGCCTGTGTAACGTAGACGATTAACCTTAGGCAAATATATAAAAAGATCGCGCGATACTCGAACTTTCTTTCGTTTCCCTCGTTTTGTCCGCACCTTTTTCCTTTCCCTTCTCGTCTTACGTTTCCTCTTCCTCTTTCCGTTCTGTTCTCCTTCTCTCTTTTACTCTCTCACTCTCACTCTCTCACTCTCTCTTTCTCTCCTTTCGCTGGTTCTCTTTTTCGTTCAATTTCCTATTTGCATTCTCGGTGTGTGGAGGCTTCATTTATTTGGTTAATTTAGTACCTTCGTATATTATATTTTATATATATATACACCAAGTCTCTCTAGTCGCCTCTACATTTACAATAATTCCTAATTTAACTTCATTTAATCGCGATTACATTTGCGAATAAAAGGTTAAATAGCGTAATAGTATATAGCCAATTACAATACTTAAATATAATCTTACATAGAAGTATCCTTCGTAGAAATAACAGATCTCGTTATCGACGATGTCGTGCGCGCGTGCATATGCTAGATATTATTCCGGAATCGTTTCCCCCCCTCCCACCCTTTCTTCGGAGCAAAGTACTTGCATTGTTACTCGCGCGAGATATATACGAGTAGATTCGATCGATAATAATCCTTAAGTTACGATAATTAGTGGCTCCTCTTTCTCTACTTCTGTCCCGATACGTTTAACATTGTGTCGTAACGTTATCGGTATAATATTAATAAAAATAAAAATAAAAATATATATATATATATATATAACAATGATGATGATAGTAATAATAATAATAATAATCGTAATAATAATAATAATAATAATAATAATAATAATAATAATAATAATAATATAAATAATAATATTAATAATAATGATAATGATAATAGTATAGTAATAGTAACGCGTTAATCAATTAATTTGGCTGATCTGCCTACAGTGCCTCGCATGGTTTTTTTTTCTTTTTCTTTTTAAACTTATGATATAGATAAAAAAGTAGGGTGTTGTAAAAATATTTGAAAGTGTGTGTAAATGGTTCGGCGCGTGCGTGTTGATGTACACTCGCGGTATAATATTTCGAAACGGTTGAATTCCTTTCAACGTTCAACGAACGACAGGTGTGTGTGTGTGTGTGTGTGTGTGTGT